TTCTTACCGTGAGGAAGTGAGTCCAACTTGAGAGTCCTCTCCTTGGTGAGGTGTCGTGAGCGCGCTACCTTGAGAGACGACAATTTTCCCGGAAGCATCTGGAAGGAGAAAGGGCGGTGCCTCTGAAGGGCCCTGGTCGAAGCACTGGGTCACGGTCACCATGCCAACCCAATGGGAGTAGGTCACGCATGCGATGGCTGTTGTCCATTAAGGCACTTTGCTGCGCCAAATAGAAGTCTTGCCAAGTGTGTCAGCCTTGTATGAGATGCTTACCAGACCGTCGATAAACATTTCTGGTTGGGTACTCGGAATGATTCTGGCTGTGATCGTCGTCCTGACTGCGACGTTAAAGAATTCCTGAAGAGATGGGGGCGCTCTTAATAATCCTCCTGATCAGCCAGATCATCCGGGTGTAAGGCTCGTTTCCGTACGAGGGTAAATAAGAGTGGACTGGCTGGCTTACTTGGCTCTGACTTGGGCACAGGGGTGGGCCGATACACACACGAAGACACTGCTCGCTCAATGATGCTGTTCGGTATGTTGGATGGAGGGGAGGGTAGGTTCTAATTGGTGCTCAACTGAATACACAACCATACCCACTCATCATACATCTGCTACATTGTCTCTTTTGTATCTTTCATTAGTCGGTGGACAGACTGCTAACACCTCACAGACAGACTAGAGTAGGACTGATGTATGCTACCATAGCCAGTTCTATCTAACTCTGATGTAAGTGAACTCATCAAGATACATCTAGACTATGTAGACAATCTGTGCGAATGTTGTAGACATGCCACTTGATTCGCTACAGTAGGGAACTCGCCGGACACAACTATATTTAGAAAATTAAGTGTCGGTCAGACACATGCTGCGGTAGGATTCCACTAGGGGATTCTAGTGCAGATACTGTCTGCCTAACTGATGAGCGGAACAGACCCTGTGGATGAAAGAGTTGACGATAGGAGACTGACACGTTCAAGGGCCCTTAGGGTCCTGCACGTGTACCAGGCCCTACAACTGGGAGACGAAAGACGGCTTCAGGCCGACCGTAGAGCCCGTGCACTAGCAGCAGTTAGGGCAACAGCCAACGTTGCAACTAGGGAACAGGCGGCAGCAGCAGCCAGGGCAGCCACCATGTCTGGCGCAGCAGCAGCCGGGGCTGCATCTTCGTTAGGAACTAATGGGAACCAGTTGGGAATGCCAACAAGTTCCACAAGTTCCACAGGCACTTCCGGTTCAACAGGTTTTAGACAGTCTTCTAGTCAAATGGCGGGCTCGCAGTTCAGCCCGCTGACCTCACGTGAGAGGGAGCTCAGAGAGATCCAGCAGGTCGAGAGGCTCCGCCGGAAGTTAGAGCAGGACCTGAAAGATGCTACCGATAGAGAAAATGCGATGAAAACTGGAGCAGCCAGGCTTGAAACTTTAGAGGCTGACAAGGTTGAACTAGAGGGCTTGGATGAGTCATTAATGAATGACCACATGAAAGTGTTGAAGAAGAACATGTTGTCGTTGCACGCACACATGGACAGCAAGTTAGAATTCATGCAAAGCACTCTAGACCAAATCCTGGACGCTGTGACAAGGCCAGGATTCCGACCACCAGCACAATCGTCGTTACCGTTGTCGGCGATGTCAGGCCCCTTTCCAGTTCAAGCTGGTACACAACCTAGTGGTACGTCTGCAGCAGCCGCACAGACTGTTGCATCTACTTCTTCGGGTCCAGCGGTGGGTGCTACACCACCGCAACAACAGGCTAGTCCTCAACAAGGACAGCCGCAAGGCCAATGGTATCCTAAGACCCCAATGAAACCGCCTCTTGCCTTCTCAGGTGAGGGAAAGGGCGAAGAGCTCAACACTTGGTTGAGAATAGTCCCGGTTTGGGTGAAGGCGAAGAGGACCTTGCTAGAGGACGAAGTGGTAACTGCATCTTACCTCGAGGGTAAGGCAGTCAAATGGTTAGATGGTGTAGTTATCAAGGCCGAGTATGGGAGACGCATGGCGGACTGGGCTAAGTCTCTAACGTTAGACCAGTTCATGGAAATGGTAGAAGCTCGATGGCATAACCCACAGGAGGCACAAAAGGTCATTGATGCCATAAACAAACTGGACCAACGAAAGTTCAAATCGGTTAGAGAGCTTACGACTACCGTTGAGAGCCTAATCCTCGTCCCAGACATTAACTACAGCGACCAGTTCCTATTGACTACATTTGTCAGTTGTCTCCCAGAGAACATCAGGAACTTGCTGGCCAGTGAGGCACGCGTCGAGTATCACTCGTTTGAGACATTGTCTAGGAAAGCCTTAGATTTGGAGGCCACGCTAGGCAATGCTCAACCTACCTCTCAGAATGACTCGAAGAAGAAGAAGAGTCCCCAGGAGTGGAAGAAGAAGGGGGCGAAGTTGATGATGGTTGAGTCCGATGGGACTCAAACTGAGATCGACGAACTCTCTGACTTGGTGGACTATTCAGAGTATGACGGCGAGGAGGTAGCTGAGGGTAGCACCCTCGCTGCAGTAGTAAAGGCTAAGGCCAGTGGCCGAGGGAAGGGCCAACCTAGGGGTCAAGGGAAGGCCGCCTCCAATCAGACCAAGCAGGTTGAATGGGTTAAGGCAGGTCTTGATCAAGACGTGTGGCGTGATCGCCGAACGCGTGGCGCTTGTATCAACTGCGGGGAGTACGGACACTCGCAATACAAGTGCCAGAACGCGAAGGTTACGCAGAAGGTAGCTCAAAAGATGGGGGCAACCTACTCCCAGGCTTCTAGCTTGGGAAACGCGTAAGGCCGGTGGAAGTATTAGCTGCTTCTACTCCAGATGAAGTGGGATTGATACCCTCACCACTTCATGAGATGGCCCAAGCTAATGACCCCTTAGTCACCCCGCAGACACAACTAGACCACACTATGCTCTGTACGTTAGATGTGTCTGAAGCCTTAGAAGACTTAGAGAGTGAGTGGTCAAACAAGGACCCTCGTGAGTCTTGGGTGGCACTAAGGAAAGGTCCTAGAGGGGAACATTTCGTGGTGGAGGTCGATGTAGGAGGCCGCAAATGTGGTGCCTTCATAGACATAGGCTCCACGCGGAATTATATAAGTCGCGACTGTTTGGAAAGGCTGCACCTACAGGACCGGGTACGGCACCTTAGTAGACAAGTAGCATCTACTTTGGCCAACAAAGAGCGCATGATTGTAACAAACTACATCAAGGACGTAGTCTGTACCTTCTCCTATGGAGGAGGTGAGCTTAACCATAAGATCTCGTTCTTGGTTAGCGACGACTTACCATTTGACATGTTATTAGGCATGTACTACCTCGAAGTTGCTAAGCCCCAGTTCGACTGGGATAAGAAGGTGCTCAAGCATAAGTTGCCCGATGGCCGAACTGTCAGATTGACTAAGTTCAAGGCCAGTAGTATTATAGATACCTATGGCTGCTTGTGTGAAGGTGCTCAAGCATAAGTTGCCCGATGGCCGAACTGTCAGATTGACTAAGTTCAAGGCCAGTAGTATTATAGATACCTATGACTGCTTGTGCGCATCAGCGTTCTACAATTACTACAAGCAAAATCAAGAGGAGGGTATGTACCTTGTTTATGTCTCTGAGAAGGGGGAGGCCGTTAAAACACCCCCAGAGATAGAACGCGTCGTTGCTAAGTTCCCTGATCTGTTCGAGGAGCCCACAGGAGTTGTTGAAAGGGAAGTCGTCCACGCTATAGAAATCATTCCAGGGAGTAAGACCCCAAAAGGAAGGATCTATAGGATGGCCCCCGCCGAGTTAGATGAACTTCGGCGACAGTTTAAGGAGCTGACAGAGAAGGGTTGGATACGGCCTAGTACTTCCCCTTACGGATCACCCGTTCTATTCGTACCAAAGAAGGGGGGTACTTTGAGGATGTGCATTGATTATAGAGGCGTCAATGCCATCACTGTGAAAAACGCAGAGCCTCTGCCTCGCATAGACGACCTATTGGATAGGGTGCAGGGATGCAAGTACCATAGTAAGATAAACTTGAAATCCGAATATCACCAGATCGCAATAAGACCTGAGGACCAACACAAGACAACTTTTCAGACTCGTTATGGTCTGTATGAGTTTGTAGTGATGCCTTTCGGTCTTTGTAATGCGCCGGGTACATTCCAGCACGCTATGAATCAGATCTTCCATGACCATTTAGATAAGTTTGTCGTGGTCTATCTAGACGACATTCTGATCTTTAGTAAGTTTGCAGAGGAGCTTGCACAACATGTTGAGACTGTACTCTCACTCCTGCGACAGCACAAGTATAAGGTCAACTTAGAGAAGTGTGAGTTCGGTCGCACAAAGATACTATACTTGGGTCATGAAGTATCCGCAGAGGGAATTAGGCCGGAAGATGCGAAGGTGGCTAGTATTTGAGACTGGCCACGACCTCAGACAGTCACTGAGGTCAGATCATTCTCAGGAATGTGCGGCTACTATAGGAACTTCGTAAAGAACTATTCTACAGTCGCCTCTCCTTTGACTGATCTAACTCGACTTAACACACCGTGGGACTGGAGTGATGAGTGCGAGGGTGCTTTCAAGAGATTGAAGCATGCACTCATGAATCATGAGGTTTTCATGGTTCCCGATCCTCAAAAGCCATTCATAGTGACCACTGACGCAAGCCAATACGGCATTGGCGCAGTGCTGGCTCAACAGAATGGGAAAAAGTTGAGACCGATTGAGTACATGAGCAAGAAGATGCCATCAAAGAAGTTGGCAAAGTCCACCTATGAAAGGGAACTCTATGCTCTATACAAAGCACTTGTCCATTGGAGACACTTCCTATTGGGAAGATTCTTCTCCTTGAGGACTGATCATCAGACCCTCAAATGGATCAAGACTCAACCGGCTCTTTCTGATGCACTCAAGCGATGGATTGAGGTCATAGATCAATATGACTTCAARCTTRAGTATCTGAAGGGGGAGTACAACAAGGTTGCAGATGCGCCATCCCGTAGAGCGGATTACCTAGGTGCGCTAGTTTCTGACTTTGGCATATCTGACGAAATAACTCAATCGTTGGTGGGAGCCTATCAGGAAGACCCTGTAACGATGGACATCATTCGCAAACTTCAGGCAAAAGACAAGGCCACAGAAAGTGAGTTCGTGATGGTGGACGGGCTTCTCTATCTTGATAAGGCCAGAATAAAGAGACTAGTAGTTCCATCTAGTGAACCGTTGTGTAGTTTGTTTTTAGGAGAATGCCATGACGCAACGGGACACTTTGGCTACAAGAAAACGAGTGTTAATCTAGTACAGCGATTTTGGTGGCCTGGGATGTTCGATGGCGCAAAGAAGTACGTAGAAACCTGTCAGGTCTGCCAGCGGGACAAGCTGCGAACTCAAGCACCGCTTGGGTTGCTTAAGCCCTTACCTATTCCCGCTAGTCCAGGACAGAGTGTTTCCATGGATTTCATGGACACCCTGGTAACTAGCAAGAGTGGTAAGAGGCACATCTTCATCATCATAGACCGATTCACCAAATACGCTAGACTAGTTGCCATGCCAGAGAGTGCGAGGACTGACCACGTCATTAAGTTGTTTAAGGACAACTGGGTGCGGGACTTTGGTTTACCAAAGACTATCGTTAGTGATAGAGACGTCCGATTCACAAGTGAGCTATGGAAGAAGACTGCGGAACAAATGGGCAGTCAACTTCAGATGACTTCAGGGAATCATCCCGAAGCCAACGGACAAGCCGAACAGATGAATWGAGTTGTACAGCACTTGCTGAGGCATTACATCAAGCCCAGCCAAGATGATTGGGATAAGAAGTTGCCACTCATCGCCAGTCTGTACAACAATGTTGTGCACAGCAGCACCGGCGTGAGTCCTAACCAGCTACACTTGGGATGGAAGCCTAGATCCGCATTAGACTTCCTCCTACCTGAAAACCGACCTGCTGCAACCCCAGGCACACTGGAGTATGGTGTGCAATATGAGAAATTGTTGCAAGAAGCTGTCGAGCACATGAAGAAAGCTCAGCAAGCAATGATTGCTTCTGAGAATCAACATCGTAGACAGTCCACATTTCAGGTAGGGGAACGTGTCTGGGTCAAGGCTAGTGAGCTAGGACAGGAATTCAGAATCTCTCGCAAACTAATGCCTCAATACTTTGGTCCCTGGGAAGTCCTAGATATAGTGGGAGATGAGATGGATGGTCCTACTTATGTCACTCGTGTCCCTGGACACCTACGCACTCACCCAGTCTTTCATGCCTCAAAGCTTGCACCTTTCGCTGGGACTGATCAATTCCCTTCCAGGAGATCGATGCTGCCCCCAACCATGGATGGACAAGTCGACATCGATGACATTGTGGATCACCGGGACATGCCTGTTGCAAAGCCGTTGGGTCGAGGAAGACCTCCTAAACCCAAGAGAGAATATCGTGTCAGATTCAGGCATCACACGGATCCCAAAGAAGATCGGTGGTTTACCAGGGAGGAACT